GTTTTGGTACATCTTACTCTTCTATACTTCAAATGTTAAAATACACCAGTAAATTTGTATATAATGTTGCCAACACCCAAAGACAAATACAGATGTGGTTTTTAAATATAGTTAATAAAAGGCAACAATGTTGTTAAGTGCCATTGCGACTTGCAGCAACTTCTATGTACACCAAATGGAAAACATTGCCCAGTCCTGCACCATTCTCGTCATTGGTGCTATATGTGGCAGCTGCTGTGTCAATCCATCTCATCAAGGGTCTTCCTCTTTTTACATTGTCCCTGGTGGCGGAGTGCTTGTGAGTTGGGCTACAATTCTCAAGGTCTGCAGTTCAAAACCACTGGCTGTTCTGCAGGAAACACTGGGCTTTCTATTCCCATAAACAAGTACAGTCTTGGAACCTCACAAGGACAGTTCTACCCTGCCTATGGTGGTCGCTATGAGTCGGTATCTACACTATGGCGGTGAGTTTGGTTTGGTTTGGTTTTCTACTTTACCGAGCCTACTTACTGTCCTTTCCAGGGACTGAACATGTCCCTCCTGATAGCATGTCTAAAGTGCGTGAGACAAAATCTTGCCATCCTTGCTTCTAAGGATCATTCTGGTTGTACTTCTTCCAAGACAGATTTTTCATTCTTCTGGCGGTCCACAATACTTCCGGTACTCTTCCCCATCACCACAAATCTAACGCACCAGTGCTTCTGCGGGATTCTCTATTTGTTGTCCAACCTTCACATGTGTATGAGGTGGTCAAAATTAAGGTGGTGTGGGGCAGGAGCACCTTAGTAGTTCTTCAAGGGACAGCTCTGCTCTTCAACGAGTTAAAGGTTTTGTACAGCAGTCCTTTGTAAATGCAATACCTCACGTGATGTGCTCCCATAAGCGTCAACTGTGGAGCCAAGCAAACTGAAATCCTTGACAACTTCAATCTTGTCCATTTATTACGATATTGTCTTTTGGTCTAGTTGAATGAGTTTTTGTTTTCTTTACATTGCGTGTAGTGTATGGCCCTAGAAAAGAATGATGTCTAGTAGTTCATGAAATTACATTTCTGACCTTGGCATTGTTGGCTTACATTTAACCAGCCTCCAATTCCAGAAGTTTCTCCTGTCTGTACTCTTTTCTGCTGGGTGACTGCAATTAGCTAATCGGCCACATATCCTTCCCAATGCCATCAGAATTTCTAGAATAGACCTGTCTGTCTCATTCACTACTTGTTTAATGCTCTCATTAGTTATTTAGTATAGCTGGAGCGGCTTTCCTCTTTTTTAACAACTCCCTCCACCTCTCCCACAATTCCTTCACCTTCAAACCTGGGAGTTGCCTGTGTTATCCTTTTAGCTACTGGTACTGTGAACTTGGCAGGAGTCCCTGGGTGGTACAAATAGTTAAGGACACCTGAAAAGTGGGTAGTCCCAACTGCCCAGCCCAAGTGCACCTCAGAAGAACGGGGTAGCAATCTGCTTCCCAAAGGCTTGAAGATGCTATGGAGATCCGCTCTACACACAGGATCAACAAGAGTCAGAATCAACTAGACCACAACTGACCATTGGACGCAACACCCGACCCTAGCCAGACCAAGCAGTCCATCCTAGCAATTTTGACTTGGGATGAACAATAGGTTCATGTCTCTCTGAATGGCTACAGCATCCAAGTTTGGAAGCAATGATAGTGCTTCCTATCAACTGAACTAGAAAAGTTTAGGAATTGAGTTATAAGAGAAAAACATAAGCTGTACAGAGAAGCTGAGCATAAAGAATTCGAATGCTCAGTCTCAGCTCTTCTTTGAATCTAGCTATAGCCATGTCTTCAAGTCCCCATGAAACAAGCCAGACACCTTACAAAACATCCTCTCATTTAGGCTTATTTGTATTTCCGCCCTCTGCCCCCAAGCTGGTGCTAATACAACTGCATTTGATCTGGCATCTTAATACCCATCTTGCTAGCTTCATTCCTAATGCCTGCAAGACGAGTCATTCCCTCTGATTCCAGCTCTTCCCCGGAGCCTTTGCTATGGATCTCCTCGATGCCCTTCCTCCTTCTGACCCGAAGGATGCCTACATCTTGACCTCAAGAAATAGTCTAACTGTCCCCTCCATCATGAGCTCTTGAAACCTACTTCTTCCCTATGCGGAGCAAATAATCTAAGAAGCTGAACAAGGCATCAGAATGAAGTATGAGAATTGGAGAAGAGTCATGAATCACCTGTGACAGGCAATTGAGGCAATTTTGCTTGCTGAAAGTGAAGCCAATGAGCAGGATCATGATAAACATGGGAGATCAACGGTCAAGGATTTCATTTTATTCGGATCCACAATCAACATTCATGGAAGCAACAGTCAAGAAACCTAAGTGTGTTGCATTGGACACATTGCAGCAAACCCCCTCCCTACCAGGTTAAAAAGCACAGAGCCTGCTGGCCCAGTGAACTGAGTTGGGCTGCTGACCTTCAGTTCAAAACAACCAGCCTACACAGAAGAAAGATGAGGCTTCCTGCTCCCTTAAAGATGTACAGCCTACAGTACAGCACCAAGGAAACATACAACTTTCCTCTAGTTCTTTAATACACCCCCCCACCCCACCCCCACCCCCGCCACTATCATGACCCCAATTCTACCTTACAAATCTGGCTAGACCAGAACATGTACCCAGGTACAGATAAGAGCTGGAAACACTAGGAGTCCAGGACAATTAAGCCCCTCAGGACCAATAATGAGAGTAGTGATACAAAGAGGGGAAGGGGAAGGTGGGGGGAGAAAAGGGGAACCAACCAATCTACATATAACCCCCTCCCAGGGGCATGGGCAACAGAAACCATGGGTAAAGAGAGACATCGGCCGATGGAAGACAGGAAAAAATATATATAATTTCTAAATTATCAAGGGTGCATGAGGGAGAGAGAGTAGGGAAGAGGGGAAAATGAGCTGATACCAAGGGCTCAAGTAGGAAGAAAATGTTTTGAAAATGATGATGGCAACAAATGTACAAATGTGCTTGACACAATGGATGGATGGATGGATTGTGATAAGCGCTGTACGAGCCCCCAATAAAATAATTTATATATATATATAGTATATTTATAATATATATGATTTACAGCCTTGGAAACCCAAAGAGTTATTCAAGGTCAGAATGTACTCAATGGCAGTGAGTCCTGGTTTGGTCTCAGTTTGGATTTAGGTACACCTGACCTAAGCGATGGTACCTGCATTCACCTCATATGCCTGGGAAAGCTGGACACTAAATAAGGAAGAAATACAGTGTTCACAGAGATTATTGAACAGAGTGCCAGGAAGTATGGTCAAATCTGTCTTGAAAGAAATACAACCAGAATGCACCTTAGAGAGGGTGGTGACTGTGGTAGTTATACAATCTGTTGTCAATTTGAAAGGATTAAGAGTAAAGGGGTGGAGTTTTGTCTGCCTATCAGGTTGCAAGTTGATGACCTCATTTGGAGGTGCTGAGATAAATAGTTCGTTTGAGGAGGGACACAGGCTCACTCCCTGCGAGACATTGTAGCTGACAAGACACATGCAGCTATGCTAGTGCCCAGAGCTGGAGGAGCCATATGGAGACCCCTGCCAGCTCTGAAATGCTTCCACTGCCACTGGATCCACAAGAGTCTCTGTCCACTGGCCTGTGATCTTCTACATTTGGCATCATTGCATGTATTTCGTGAGTCTGAAGAGGACTTTATATAGATTGGTATTGAACATATGGGCTAATATCAGACTTAGGGACTTGATCTGGACTGGGCTGGGATGTTTTCTCAATATTCAATTGCTCTTGTATATAAACCTCTTTCTTATGCACGAGTGTCTCTATGAATTTGTTTCTGTAGTCAACCCAGACTAACACAGTGACTCTGTCTCACAGACTTTGGATAGGTTATCAGGCAGGATAAAGTCCCTGGAGCAGGACCCCAGGTCAGCAAAAAAGAAGACCCTCAGTGTGATGGACTGGCACGGTGGCTGCAACAGTGAACTCAAACACAGCAAAAGCTGTGAGGATGGTTGCAGAACTAGCCAGCATTCATTTGCACTTAGGGACCAACTCGATGGCACTGAAGGGCCATTCCCTTGCCTCCAGGCCCAAAGACCACTCCCTTCCAAGCGACTGTCCTTCCTATATGCTTCTTTGATGACACTGACATTAGACTGCAGAATTCCTGTTTTCCTATTTTGGGTTAAGTTCAAATCACAATCCTATTCATCTATGTAGTTCCCTGGCCTAACACAATTGGAAAAGATATTGAAGGTGTAGGATATTTCATACATTTTATAAATTATTGTTATTCCAACAAATGAAGTGATTTAGTCCCTGACACACAGGTTCTAGCACATTCCCCTGCCCCCTCCCATAATTTTAATGTCCAATCAAGAAAACAACTTTTCATGAATAATATAATTTTGTGTTTGAACAGGAGAATAATTAGCTGTGAAATAAATTTACCACAAGGAGCTGAATTAGCTGAGGCGGCCCAAAAGCCAAAATATACACTCTCATAAAGGGCCCAAATCAGTACTACCATCTAAAACTTGCCATCTTATGCCGCACCCTATCTCCATCTTTTTAAAAATGTAATTTCCTATCATTTATCCCACTAACCTATTTTACTTTGAAACCGCTGCCAATCACGCTTGTTGCATCTGCCCTTCACACTAAGGTATTAAGAAACTGCCTTGTCAACAAAGTTTTATTATGAGGATTGTTTTCAGCGGCTTGTTTTTCCTGAACTGCTCTTTAGGCCCAGATGTACAAAGCAAAAAATGAAGTACCATGGGGTTAGTTTTGTTGGGTTCTTTCCAGGTAGGATAACAACAGCAACAAACAGGCAAGTCTGGCCCAAGGTGCCTGGAGCTTGAGGCTTCAAATTCAATACCTTCCCCTTAGTCCATTCTCCGCACTGAATCATGGTGGGAAGGGAGCCCAGAAAAGCGGAAGGGAAGATTAGCTATTTTATACTCACCTCAATGACCACCAGGAAATAAAACACAGTGTTTTATGGCAAAGTTACTTTATTGAACTACATCCTCAGGGGCAGGGAGGGGGAGGTGATGTTACAGTGAGATTATTTCATAACAAACTTATTTGAGTTTGGGTTCCGTGAAGAAACAATAAGCTTTCAATAAAGTGTGGTCATTAATCGATACCTGCATTTATTTGCTTCTTTGGTGCTCTCGATTTACCACTTTTCCAAAATATACCTGATGATGTCAATTGATGAGCACAAGTAAAAGAAACGTATAGTTTACCCAGCGTGTGACTTGTGCTTGGAAGTTAATGATCACTTGCTAGAGAGTCACCGTTCTGAAAGTGGTGTCTCAACAGTCAATGAAGTATTTTATAAATATCTTGGAAAAGCTTTATTGACAGATGTTATTTTTATCTTAATGTAAGGATACATACAGAAAATTAAAACAACAAATTGTTACAAATGGGATACAAATCTTTTAAGATTAATAAATAGTAGGGTGAAAAAAATAAGTCCTATCACAGAACTAGAAGGTAGACTTGCCACTAACTTCTTATAAAAAGAACAAAAGTTAAATAACTATTTCTTAAACCATTAATAGAAGTACTGAAAAACAAAAATGTGCCTGAAGCATTTGTAAACTTTCTCCCTCCATTTCAGAAAATGTCTTCGAACACACGAATCCCTTCATTAGAACACAAGGACCGGAAACCACCATCACATCAAAATGATGACATCGGTCTTTGTTTCCTACAAAAATAGTCACAAAGGAACAGGAATTTAAAAAGAGAAAGTCTATTTGATTAAGAGTAATGGATTCATCACCCTACGATCACATAAAGCCAAATTTATTTTCCTATAACTGCTGATACTTGAAACTGAAGGATTATTTCCTTTAAATCATCATCATTTTAAATTAGTTCCATTAAGACAATTATCAGGTTTTAAAACTTCAGTTATCCTGAAAGAACCACCAGGATGACTAAACCAAATCCCCAACTAGATTATGTATTTAACCTAATTTCCTCAAAACTTCCCAAGGACAGCAATGTACCAGAATCAGTGCGCATACACACTTCAACTGACGTTCACGGCTCATATTCCATATCTGCAACGCGGCTGCACATGCAGCTGGCTGTTTTCTTTGTGCAAAACTTTAAGTCCATATTAAAAATACTCAGGACTAGACTCTTTTTGAAATATTCTTTCCACCATTAAGGGATAGACATTTTTCAATATTTATTTTTCACACTGAGAAACAGCTTGCTGTAAGCACACATTTTAAGGAAATTTTAAACTGATGTACTTTATCACAAGTCTACTGCAGTAACATAGACTCACAGCAGTCAGAGCTATACCCTTAGTGCTGTAATTCAAATAGAAGTTCAGGTTGTTAATTCATTCTTTAGTCATTACTGTACATCAATCAAGGTGACATGGGGAGTGAGGACATGAGAGAGCAAGAGAGCCGGATACACAATCTCTGAAATGTCCTGAAGCTAAATATAGGCCTGCTGTTGGCAGCCAAGAACTATGTGTACCTCTTTCCCCTGTGTTACAACTCTTCCGAGGCTTCCAATTCACTTTTCATTGTTTAAAAAATGCTGAAACAAAACATAAAGCACCAAATTCTATCACTTCATTTGATTTAAATCTGACTTGAGGATGGGGGGGGGGGGCTATTTTAATAGGATTTAGTAAGAAAACAAATGGCTCTTTTAAAAGAAACAGTGATTTCTACAGAACTGATTGATATTAATTAGAAACATCAAGAAATCTAGAACTATTAAACCAGACGCCTTTCTGGACTGAGAACCAGAAGACATTCTATTCCTTCTCCCACTGGGACTAAAATCTTGGCTCAAAACTGTACTAATGCAATTAAAACTTACTGCAAAATAAAGACCTTTGTGGAGAGAGGCAAACGCCAGTCTTTATCCCAGTGAGAATACATTCCATTCAAAAGGTACACAGTATTGTGTACTAAATTCCCCATTTTCCACTCCAGCCAATGGGGGATTGAACGGTTGCTGGCCCTTAAGACCCATCACATTGTCATGCGACGCCTCCTTCACAGGCTCTCAGTGGAAAGAGCAGCTGACTCGTCCTACCTTTGCTTCACCTCACCCTCATCCGAAAACCAACTGTGCCCTGTGTGGTCACAGTGACGGGCTTGACTAAGTTGATACAGAGTACAAAAGCAAGCATGACAATGGTAAACAGTAAGGTGCCAGAATGATCCAATATACTGGGGATCAAATCTTAGGACTTATCACTGTCAGACTTCAGAAGTTATTTTCTTAGTCAAATGAGACAGCACCATGAAGACTGTCATTTAGCACCAGCATGTCATCGCAGGCTTTGGTTCAGGCTTCAGGCTAATCCCATCATCGGGGGGCTGGCTTAGCATTAATGGTTTGTGACTCTTAAGCTTATGAGCCAAGGTCATAAATATCGCTTCCACGTGGTCGTTATCATTGGGGGTTTTGGCAGAGGTTTCAAACAAAGGCATACTGTGAGTGTCAGCAAATTTTTGTGCCAAGTCTGTGGGTACCTGAATGGCACTTCTCAAGTCACACTTATTTCCAACGAGAATCCGTGGAATATCGCTGGCAAGCAGATGTTGTTTGCATTCTTCTATCCAAGAGGGCAGGCTATGGAAACTAGCCACGTTGGTCATATCATACACAAAGACAACGGCGTGTACATTCCGGTAGTAGTGCTGCACCATGCTCTTTCGGAATCGTTCTTGCCCTGCTGTGTCCCATAGCTGGATCTGAAAAGGGAAAGAAAACATTTCCTTTCATTCCCATTACACGTTGAGAAATGTAATTGCCTTAGCATGGCCTTTAGGGTTCATTTAAAAGGCTTTGATCACTCCCTTACATCAAGTCTCTTCTACCCAGACTTGATACCCGTCTCTGTGGTTGTGTGTCATTGACTTTGACTCCGACTCACAGTGGCCCTATAGGACACAGAACTGCCGACACAGCTCCGAGGCTATCAGCATTACCTGAGCAGGCCACCTGGTCTTTCCTTCCAGGGAAGCAGCCAAGAACTTACCAGTGAGTCGCCAAGGGTCCTTGGCAATAGCCTAGTTACCTCACAATGAAGTTATAGTGCAGGCACAGCTATATATGCTCCAATTCTTCAACTTGGCATTCAATAAATCAACGTATATCAAATTTGTCTGAATAAAATGGTCTTTCAAAAGTTCATTTTTAAAGTGTTAGAAAAAAACATATCAAGATTTACCAAATATGTTGAGGATCTAATCCCTATAGGTTTAGTTACTACTTGATTTTATACATATTAATACACACTTGAGGCACTTGCTGATGAAGATCAGGATTACAGCTTTCGGTATGGATTACAACTCAATGTACAGAAAATGAACATCCTCACAACTGGATCAATAGGTAACAGCATGATAACTGGAGAAAAGATTAAGGAGGCATGCTCATGGAGGCAGCGGTTAATAGATCAAACAATGGGTTGCACTGGACAAATCTGCACAAGACTGCGTTAACAGTGTTGAAAAGCAGGCAGGTTACTTTAAAGGGTTAAGGTGTGCCTGACCCAAAAATACCCATGGTATTTTTCCATCATCTCATATGCTTTATGAAAGATGGACACTGAATAAGGAAGACCGGAGAATTTAAGTGCTTGAATTGTGGTACTGGCAAAGAATACTGAAAGTAGCATGGACTGCCAAAAGGACAAACAAATATGTCTTAGAAGAAATATGGCCAGCGTGCTCCTTAAAGGCAAAGATGGTAAGACTTCACCTTACATACTTTGGTCATGTCGTCAGGAAAGACCAGTCCCTGTGAAGGTCATCATGTTGGGTAGTGGGGCAGCAGAGAGGAAGGTCCCCAAGGAGATGGGCTGACAGACACAGTGGCTACAACAATGGACTCAAGTACAAGAACAGTAGTGAGACTGGCGCAGGACAGGGTAATGTTTCACTCTGTTGTACATACGGTCAATATGGGTCGGACTAACACCACACACATTATGTATTTTTCATACTGTATGCTGTGTTTCTGTATGTTCTTTTCATAGGAGCACCATATTGGTATTTCTTAGCATGGTGGGACTTCAGTGTTCGGGGTTTTTTGCTTGCCCAGTGGATTTACTGCTAAGTCCTTGTCTTGGAGTCTTTTACATGGGGCTGTGGTTCCCAGCAGCAGGCCCTCACCAGCTCACCCTCCGGTCCAGTTCTACAGCAGGAGTGGCAGGCTTCATTCCCTGCTCTGTAAATGATCTTCCCTGATGCAGAAAGAAATCGCTTTGTCCTCCAGAAACAGCCTGTTAGGCTCGATTCTCTAGAGAACTAAAACCAGTGACATTTATATGTGTAACAAGAAATGGCTTACACACTTGTAGAAATAGGTAAGTCCAGCCCGGTTCAAGTCAGGCTTCTCCTGAATCCTGAAAGCTGATGAACAGGAAGCAGGATGACAAAGCAGAAACAGCAAGGGGCACAGGCTGGTGGATGCATTGGTCCAAAGTTGGCTAAATGAATCCACCTTCAGTAATCTGCTGACAGCTTCAGGGAACACAAAAGGAGATCAAAGAACGATATGAAGATCCAGCTCCGGCAGAGTAAAGGGCTAGAGGATGTGAACCTGCTTGGTCTCTCTCTTACACAAAAAGGCTTATGCCGCCAAGGAGATGTCATCAGGCTGCAAAGCCAGTTGATTGACAGGTGGAGCTCCATCCCTTACCCAAGAGTGTCTAGCCGACACAATCTTTAACCATTACACAGCCCTTTCCAAGGTGGCTGGCTCTAGCCCAGGCAGTGGGTCGGCCTACATACCCCAGCCCGAAAGGCCACTCTGGTGGGTAAAGTTGGTGTGCTGCAGCTATATACATCTTGCCGGCCATCTGAACCTCCCAAAATGGACACAGAAGGGAGGCATGTCTCTCGCTCTCCATCTGGGGACCAGCCCTCAGCATGGCTCTTATTGGGCACAGATCCGTAGCCAGGAACTCCACAACTCTCAAGCCCCACATCGAACAGTCCCAGAGCAAGTGTGCAATTTCAGCTTTTGATTTTCAAATTGCTGGAGTACTACCAAACTTGTTCCACAAATTCTCAACCAGGGCTTATACCTTTATGACACAAATATGACCAAAAGCAACATTTTGGGATTTCAAGGTCAAAATTCACTTCTGGAAATGTGAGATGTGTGGTGTTTGCATGCTTTGCTATGGAAAAACCACTAAACAAAATTTCAGCATGTATATGTGTATGCATTATTTACTAGGTGTGCTATTTTCAGGAAAAAAATATGGTAGGGTTCCTTCTCTATCTTTTAATAGTCTAATTTACTGTATTAGACCCAACATAGACATTAAAAGCCATGAGGTACGGCCCCCAAACTAACAGGCACATACGTTCTGTAAAATACAGCCCTCCCTGAAATGTACATAAGGCTAGAAAATCACTTATCTCAAACATCTCCACCAACAAAATTACTCCCATATCCCCTAGTGGAAATATGAAGGATTTAGATTAAATTATGTCTAGAGTTCAATGTAAGCACATATAGTCTCCTAACGCACTGAATTATCCCATCTTGGTTTACTTCCTGAGAAGCGGTAACTAAAGAGGAGTGCACTGGCGCTGGTGGAAACAACTCTAGATGGAAAGCATGAATTGGAAGCCTCCACGGGTGATTTTTCATAGAGCACTATGGACATTAAGGACCACTGTAAAGGCCTACTGATGAAGGGCATGAAGACACCTCAGGTGCTTGCAACAGGCCAGTACCTAGCAAATGCAGTGGGTTTAGGCTGGTCTTATTTTTAATTACATGAATAAATACATTTGCTTTTAAAAATTAGTTCTTTTTGAGGGAGAGGGGAGTGGGGAGGGAGGGGAAAAATAAGGAGCTGATGCCAGGGGCTTTAAGCGGAGAGGGGATGTTTTCAGAATGATGAGGGCAATGAATGTACAAGTGTGCTTTACACAATTGATGCATGTATGGACTGTGATAAGAGTTGTATGAGCCCCTAATACAATTATTTTTTAATTAGTTCCTTTTATTCTTATCGTTGAAAATATACAGAACAGATATATATTGAATCACTAATTTCTACATGCACAATTCGGTGACATTGATTACATTTTTTCAAACTGTGCAATCATTCTGAAACTCCCTTTTTTTTGTTTGTTTGTTGTTGTTTTTTAAATCCTTTTATTAGGGGCTCATCGACTCTTATCACAATCCATACATACATCAATTGTGTAAAGCACATTTGTACATTCGTTGCCCTCATCATTCTCAAAACATTTGCTCTCCACTTAAGCCCCCGGCATCAGGTCCTCATCCCCCCCCCACCCCTCTCCCTCATGAGCCCTTGATAATTTATAAATTATTATTTTGTCATAGCTTGCCCTGTCCGACGTCTCCCTTCACCCACTTTTCTGTTGTCCGTCCCCCAGGAAGGAGGTTATATATAGATCCTTGTACTCGGTTCCCCCTTTCCAACCCACTCTCCCTCTACCCTCCCAGTATCGTCACTCACACCACTGGTCCTGAAGAGATCATCTGCCCTGGATTTCCTGTGTGAAACTCCCTTATTAATATAAACCCACTGCCAAATTTCCTTTCAACTTGCACTCCTTTTTAAAGGAGAAAATAAAACCTTATATGGTTCATTGGTGGCAACAGTGGTTATACATGCGACTGCTCCCTGCAAGTTCAGCAGTTCCACACCACCAGAGGCTCCAGGGGAAGGAAGAGGCTTTCTACTCCAGTAAAGAGTTAGTCTCAGAAACCCACAGAGGCAGTCCTACCCTGCCTCTCAGGGTAGCTAAGGGTCTGAATTGATTTGATGGTAGTGAGTTTGGTTTTTGTTTGTTCAAATATGTGGTTAATTGAAATTCTCTTATCATTACGGTAGCATCAATTCCAACGCATGGCAAGCCCATGTATGTCAATGGAGAACCATGTTCCATGGGATTTTCAGTGGTTGGTTTTTCTAGAGCGCCAGGTCTTTCTTCAGAAGTACCTCTGGGTGGGCCTGACTCATCAACCTTTGGGTTAGCAGTTGAGGGCTTTAATCAGTTGCACTCCCAGGGGCCATGGATGTATCTGACAAGTCGCTGAATGACATCCCACAATTGTTCACTACATATACTATGTAATACTTGTATTCATATTTACACATACTACTTCATACTTAGGGGCCCAGGTGGCGTAGTGGTTACACCTTGGACCATTAACTGCAAGGTTAGCAGTTCAAATCCACAGGAGAACAATGAGGCTTTGTACTCCCATAGTCTCGGAAACCCACAGGGGCAGTTCTACCATGTCTTATAAGGTCACTAAGAGTCACCATTGACTCAATGGCTGTGAGTTTATCTAATACTTATATTAATATTTACACATACTATTTAATGCTTCTACTCATCATTGCACATATGATTTAATACTTATACATATATCTACACAGGTCGTCACAAGGTTCAACTCCTCAATGCGCCCATACAAGTCATATTACAAGTGAAAAAAAAAACAGAAAACAACCTAAACCTGTTGTCATTAAGTGGATTCCGACTCATGGTAATCCCGTGTGCTACAACTGACTTCTGTGGGGCTTGCTTGGTGGGCAGCATTATGGAGTGGGTTTGAAGTGCAAACAGCTCCGTTAGTAAGTCAAGCGCAAATTGTGTGTCACATATGGACTGTTACAAGGTTAATCGTTATAAATACCCACCTTCTTATGTATACAACCTAATGGCAGACCGTCCAAAGACTCGAT